TGCTTTGGTGTCGGAACACAACATTGAAAGTTTCTGGATCCACAACATTGAAAGTTTCTGGAACACAACATTGCAAGTTGATAAAAGCGTTGTAAAAAGAGAACGGAATAACTCTCAGAAAGCCGTTTTGGAAGAGATTTTAGCTCTACTGGGTACTAGCGAGAGTCCCTACCGCAAGCTTTGTACAATATTCATATTCTATTTTTTACTACATTCAATAAACAGTATGAATGCACTCGCCTCGACATTGTAAATGACAATGATGAGCTTTCTAGCTTTTTTGGATGTTATTTTCATTCTGCTGTAATATAAGTACAATAACTGTACATGAAGTTAACTAATGTAAGTTTCCAAAAAAACAAGACAACATAGATCTTAAGGAAAATAAACAAAATCAAAGGGCACCACCATACGAAAAAGGACTGTCCGTTGAAATCAAGTACGGTTGGTCACCGCACCGCATTTAAATGTTGTCATCTAATATTTTTAAGCTTGCAATTTTTTGAGCTGCTGATATTTACGCGTTAAATGAAAAAATATATTATTTATGCTGGCGAAGAACATGGTGATATTTTTGTTTGGTATGCCTAACCGTTGAAACACAATACCAGCGAACAGCGAATTTAGTCCATCTAAGCGATGCTGACGTCCAACTTTCGCCCAGACAATTCGCTTACTGAAGCACATATAGAGCGTGGTTTAGTGCAGAAGGCTGTCAAAGGATAAGGTGACCATATTTCAATAAAGAAGCTTTGACAACGAATAGGGAAATGCCCGCAAGAATAAGCCTAAAATATGATAATAGTGTTTAAATATAACCACTATTAATCTGACGTTTTACGAAATTAGTCGCTGAAAGAAAAATAAAGGTTATTTTACTTTTTAACAAATATTTCGATAACTTTTAAAGTATGAGCACCTTGCTTCTTTTTACCTGAAATAAATCGAAGCGAAGTCGAGCGAACTTCGGCGTTTACTTTGGTTGTGCGCGTTCTCATATATTTCAGTGTGTTTTAATTTTCATAGCGTGATGCCGAGTTCTTATATGCCAAAATACAAAGCGACGGGTTATTATATTTCAAAACCAGATGGAAAAGGCTAAATCCACAATCATAGTTGATTACATGATATGTATAAGTGCTCTGCTTTATACTTTTGTATTAAAAAATCAGGGTAATTTTATACAAAAGAAATTACTTGTCCGTTTAGTCTGAAATTTTGGGGCTTTGGGAGGTGATTGGCAGTATAAGCAAACAAAATGTGCTTATAGGTTGCTAATAAAAAATATATCCATTTTAACTTTAAACTTTATAATCCTTATTGTACATTTCCCTCCCCATTGCTCTTTTGGGAGGTTCTATAATCAACCCTCACACTTAAGCAACCTTTACTTATAAAACCAAATTTACGAAATACTAATGTTGGAAGTTCTGTTTTTTTTTTTTGTGCAAATATTGTGGAAATCCTATATATTCAAGTATGTTCCGACATTAATACACTTCAATTTCACATTCTTGTGTTTTGATACACAGTGAAAAGAGTTTGGAACTTAATTTTGTTTTTTCAAAAGTTTTTGCCGTTGAAATAAAAATTCCACGATGAAAACAAAAATACCACCAGAAAAAAGTTAGGTAATAATTTAAAAAAATTTATTGAATGATTGATAGAATGTCGAAACATGCTTGATTATTTATGTTTTTTTAATCTTTCAGAGAGCTTGAGGAGATTTTTGTATTTCCGCCAATACGAGTGTACTTTTTTGTTATTGTTTTAAAATGCCAAAAGTCCTTTAAAAATTAATAACATGAAAAATAAATATAGTTGAATGCGACATAGCGCATTCTGTAGTGTTTTGATTTGTGTGTGTGCATGTGTTTCTGCTGGGCAAATAAATATGTATGTATATCGATATGTAAATAGCTATGGTAACAAGTAATGCCAACGGCGGAATTTGAGGAATTGCGTTTTTTATGAAAATGGATTGCAGTTTATAGAATTTTTCTGTTTGTTTTGTGCGAGTTACATAGTTTAAAGTTTTGTAGCAAAAAAAATATCGTTTATATGTATGTGTGTGAAAAAAATTTAAAAATACTACATAGGCTTTGCACGAATGCGTTCAAAATATTTTGAAAAAAAAATAGTTCAATGCCCAAATTTTTACCAAATACTAATAATGGATGTAAATAAAGACACACTGGTTTTGTACTAACCACAAAAGATCGCATACACTGTGTGTGTAACCTAACACTACACTCACAAATTTTAAGGCACAAAAAATAAAAAATAAAAAAACACCAACAAACAGAAGAAATTTTTCACTCTTGCAACTTAAATTCCTGCTGTTTAACGATTTTTGTTTTGTGTTTTGGAAGAAAATTGTTGGTACTTGCGCACAGTGTGGCGACTAGAAGCAGCTAGATGGACAAAACTATTTTATTAATGTTAAAAAAAAAAAAAAACTATTTTATTAATGTTTAAAAAAATCAATAACTGGGGTCGGAAATACCCCATTGACCCAAAACTTTGTGGTAAATGTTTTAAAATACAACAGTTATATGGCCGAATGAAAGTTCTTTAGAAGGAGAATTATAAATTTTAAAATATCTTATATCTTAAAAAAAAAAATATTTCTGGTTTTCAAATTAAAAAAGAGTAATACTTTTCAAAACTTTTTGTTTCATTAACACTTCTCCCAAAAATTAAAAAAGACAAAAGTTAATTTTGAAATGTAGCGGTTTTAATTCAAAAAAATAGTATGTTAATACATACATATTTATGTGCATAAATCTGTATACAGAAATTTCAAAATCTTTACCAAACCAGTACACGTTTTAAATTTGAAATAAAACTTATATGTATTAGAGCTCTCGATTTTGTTCGCACATTTTCAAACAGCCCGGGTATATGAGCAGCGAGTACTCGCACATTTGTTCAATGCTCATTACTCGAAAATTTTCGAGCATGAGCTTGAGCAATTCGAGTTTTTTCGAGTAGTTTGAGCAATGTTTTTTTTTATTATATTGACATTTTTGGTAGCAACTTTTTAAATTTTTCAAATTATTGATATATAATGCAAAGATTGTTACATTGGTATTTAATCATATAATTTATTTAACATGAATTAGAAAGCAGCTGCTGACAAATACAATTTACAAATTTTCTTTTGTTTATGAAATTGTTCAAAAACTCGAAAGTTTTGAACAAACATTTGAGCAGTTGAGCAATGAACGAGTTTCGAGCGAGTATCGAGCTACTCGCATTGCTCGATATCCGGGTATCTAGAGCTCTAATATGTATGTATAAAAAATAAAAATGTAAATGGAAGTATAAGGTTCGCCCTCAGTTTTCAAAAATAATACCATCATCTTCCTTACTATTTGAATCTTCATACTGCTTGTTTACTGATATTCTACAAAAATAATTTGCATTGATATTTCGTTTGGAGTATTTCTCGTGCAACATTGACCTTTGTCCACCTAGCTTTTACTAGTCATATGCAGATAATTCGTATTCCAATATTCGAATAACAGATCAAAAAATCCGAATAACCGGATATCCGGAGAACAGATATTCGGATTTTATCCGTAAAGATGAATATCAGAACGGCTATTCGAATTTACGGTTAGTCCCAGCCTTAGTTTCTGCCGCAAGTAGATGGCACCTTCTTTGTAACGAATATACAAAAATTCGCGAATTTGAATTTAAGTTTGCGCTAAACTCTTTTCCCTTTAACTGCACTTTCCACTCAAACTTTTAACTATTAGTATACTATTAACTACTCTAATTACTTTCTAATTGCCGCGCTGTACTTTCTTGCACATTCACATACATAAACACAAACGCATTTGCATTTCAAAACACATACATACACATGTACATATAATCTCAGTCTGTTGCCGTGCAATGCGAATTCGTTCACTTAAAAGTTAGATTAATGACAGCTTTGTCAAGCACTTACTTACATTTGTACATACTTACACACATGTGTACATAAACAAATCCATACATAAGTAATTAAAAATATAAAACGCCTTTCTACACTGTACATAAATAAAAAGTTTATACATTTTCTTTTTTTTTTAATTTAACTTTGTTTTCTAAAATTAAAACTTGATTTCGATCCTCACCTGAAACACGCAAATGTTCCAAATGCTCTGACAAGAGTTATATTCTCAGCCTTACACATTTTCTTTATTCGTCTACTTTCCCCAACACTTTTAATTGATTTTTTGTGCATTCACTTGTGTTTCATGCTCTGTGTTTGCTTTTTGTACTTCCTGCAGCCTTAAACAAAATTTACACGCTCTTATTAAGCAGCAGCAGCAACAGCAGCTTAAGCCATGTGCTGTGGGGCGGCAGTTTGTGCCAAAACAAAGCACACCAGAACACACAAACGAATCAACTCTACCAAAAATAAACTCAAAACTCAAACCGAATTTCTGTTTACTAACTATTTTTGCATTTTCGCACTTTCACTTGCCACTGCTGGCACTAACCTCCTAAATACTACATATGTACGTCCACCTCTCTTGCTTACACAACTCGCACATGCCACACTTGAATTTCCCTAACAATGCCAATGTGAAAACAATAAAACCGAATTAATACGAAACACGCGAGAGAGTGATGTACAAAACTTTGCAAATGTTTGAGTTTTTGCGCTGTAATGCAAACTTATTTATACTTTTTTGTTTAATTTCGAATGCGTAAAAGTTAAGAATCCCTTTCTGTTTTTTTTTTCTTTTTAGCTTTTGCAGTTTCTTGTGTTATTTTCTGTTTTTGTTCAACGAAAATATATAAGTTTTCATTATTTTTATGTATAACTCTAATCATATTAAAAATTGTAGAAAATAATTTTGTTTTAATTTCTTTTAAATTTTTTCACAATAAAAAAATTCAATACAATACAAATACTAATAAATTTCTGGTATTCTTTTTTCTCCTCCAACTTACCCTTAACCACCTTTCCCTCATCAATTCCAAAACTATCCAACTCACAGACGCCTCGCCGACGAAGATGACGAATTATCCGAGGTGCAACCAGATGCTGTACCGCCTGAGGTGCGTGAGTGGTTGGCCTCCACGTTTACGCGGCAATCAGCGACTACACGCAGACGAAACGATGAGAAGCCGAAATTTCGTACTGTTGCCCATGCAATACGCGCTGGTATATTTGTGGATCGAATATATCGTAGCGTCTCGCGTACGGCGCTCATGCAATTTCCGCCTGAAGTTGTCCAAATACTTAAGGTAAGTGCTTAGTCATGGCAAATAAGTATTTATTTGTTTTATTGAATGCGAATAAATGAGAACTTGCCAAAAAGTACTGTTCTGACTTCGTTTGCGATAAGGCTTCGAGTGGATAAGGAACTTATAGCTGAGTTAAGCGCTGAGCTGATGAGCACGATAGCAATTCTGTGCATCAATTTTAACTCTGCTGCTGGTGTGCGTACTTGCTGGCATGCACTGCGCTTATTCTTCCACCACTCACTGAATATCACATTTTCCAGTACAGCTATGGGCTCTCTCAGTGCGCGAGCTCTAAAGCAAGACCGACGGGAAAAGTCTTCAAGTAGTTGTTTTCTTTGTTAGAAACAATTATTTTAGTTTTTTTGACCAGGTCTGATGCCTCACTGATAAGGTCCCATCAATTGGTTCATAAAATCTTTCAGTATTTAGCACAAAGACGTTGATTGTATGCCATATTAACGAGGCTTATAGGAATCTTAGGTAATTTTCGGGCATGCGTCCTACCAGCTCTGTGTCATCAGCTTTAGTAGCAGGATTGAGGGTAGAGTATATAATTTCTCGGCTGTCCGTTGTGAATTGCCGTACTGTTGGATCCACGCTATATATTGTATGCTCCTTACTTCTTAGAAGTCAATAGTGATGTTCTGAAAAAAGAAAGTCCGAACCCCTATACTAATCAGCTTAATGAAATACCTAGGTTATTCAATTATCCTAAGAGTGGTTCGCTAGAATTCTGAATTAATTCTTTGATCGTCCCTACTTTACACCCATGTGACCTAGTTCTACTCCTATTTTCGTGAAATAGATCGTGTCTAAGCACGGAAGCAATTTCCGTTTCGGGCATTCATTTAGTCCAGATCGATTGGGTAGAACTTAAAAAATCCTTTATCCATCCCTGGTTAGAACTCGCTCATATTCTTATCATCAAACATGAATTGACAAAAAAGGGGATGCAATCAAATTCCAGCTCCACGCGGCCATACGTTATAGTCCCTTAAGGAATACTTTATATTTGTAAAGAGTACCTAGTTATTGTAATTTCTTTCGTAAATATTTTTACTTTCTTTACAGAATTTGGATGACTGGTCATTTGATGTGTTCGCCCTAGCGGAAGCAGCTGGCGGCCAACCAATCAAATACCTCAGCTACGATTTGCTCAATCGCTATGGCATCATACATAAATTCAAGATAGCACCTGCCACATTGGAAATATTTTTGAATCGCGTCGAAGAGGGCTACTGCCGCTATCGCAATCCATATCACAACAACATTCATGCGGCCGATGTAACCCAAACGACGCACTATATACTCTGCCAAACGGGTCTCATGAATTGGCTGACTGACTTGGAGATATTCGCCACTTTGCTTGCCGCGCTCATACATGATTTCGAACATACCGGCACCACGAACAACTTCCACGTAATGTCCGGTTCGGAAAAGGCACTACTCTATAATGATCGTGCCGTTTTGGAGAATCATCATGTGAGCGCCGCTTTTCGTTTGCTCAAAGAGGACGATTGCAATATACTGAACAATTTATCACGCGAAGAGTTTCGGGAATTTCGTACACTCATCATTGACATGGTGCTGGCCACCGATATGTCCTTCCATTTTCAACAACTTAAGAATATGCGCAATCTGCTGACGCTCAACGAAGCGTCGGTGGATAAGTCCAAAGCGATGGCATTGGTACTACATTGTTGTGATATTTCGCATCCGGCAAAACGTTGGAATCTCCACCATCGCTGGACGATGTTGTTGTTCGAAGAATTCTTTCGACAGGGTGACCTGGAGCGCGAACTTGGCCTGCCGTTTAGCCCGATGTGTGATCGTAACAATATACTATTTCCAGAGTCACAGATCGGTTTTATTGATTTCATTGTGGATCCCAGTCTATCGGTTATGTCCGATATGCTGGAATATGTGTTGACACCGTTAGCGCCAATGTGCAAGACAACAAATGCGAGTATAGATGCTGGCGATGTGCCGGTTGATGGTGCGTCGGCAAGCGCACGCAGTCGGTTAAGCTCAAGCATCGACGAAGGCGGCACATCAACGGCTGCACAACAGGAGGAGGGTAGCGGAAAGCCTGCTAGTGGAAAAGTGACGCCAAAGTTTAGCATACGAAAACCATGGCTCACTTGTCTCAATGATAATAAAAAAATCTGGAAAGAGCAGTCGCTTAAGGGTAAGTGCGTTTAATTATAAATATCTGAGAAAAAAGTGTTAGGCAGGAAAGATTAAGCAGTTTATTTATTTACATAATAGTACGGGGAATAAAGACACTTTTCTTCAAAAAAGATCATTATTCAAAATGAGATTAAAACGAAATTAATCTTATGCTTGTGGGCAGATTCCAGATTTAAGCTCGGATCTTGAAGAAAAATTGTATACCTATTCAAGCGAAGCGGAGTGTATGTATGTACATGCGTATTTGTATAATATTATCTGACCCAATTTTTTTTTATTGGCATACCACAGAATTTTTCACGTTGAATGCGTCTATTTAGTTAGCGTTAATTACCAAAAAATGTTGTTAATTGAAATTCAATTCAACTTTGATCCTTCCTTAACTTTACCTGACCTTCGAAAAGTGCGTGCTTGCTATACCCACGAGCAATGGCCAAGGTTATTTGGGGCAGCATTGTATGTACACATGTACTATGTATGTATGTACATTGCCAAGGGCTTTTTTGTGCAAAATATTATTGGCTTCGTTAATTAATTAATACATTCTTTGGGATCAGCAATTTTGTTTCAGGTTTTATAGCCGATAACAGAGATGCATTATATGTATATCTGTACATATGTATGTAATTCCAATATCAACGAACAGCAGAAGAGCAGAAGCCTGAAATTGAAATTTAGTTGTTATTTATTATATCAAGAATCCGCTACCTTTTTGTACAGATAGCTTCGAATAAAATATTTTGTTATTACATATCGAGCCCTAACCGCCAAAATAGCGTAAGCGACATTTTTTTCAAAATTTTATTTTTGATGCAGAAATATTCCTAGAGCATCTAGATGCATTTCTGCATCAAAAATAAAATTTAGAAAAAAATTTTGCTTACGTTATTTTGGCGGTTAGGGCTCGATATTGATTTTATTTATATGATGGCGCCTATAAGAATGGAAATAAGTAAGACCTAATGCATGCCGCGCGGTGAGGGCTGCCAACCTTTGTTTTAATGTACACCGTAACTAAGAAGTCATTGCACATCTTTTTGCATAAGCTCTCAAACAAACTTATTCCCTCGAGTTAAGAAAAGAAAATTCAAACATTTTCCCCGACTAACCGAACGATCGCACGCAAACTTTTGGGCAAATATTCACCACTTTCATCTTCCTAATGAAATACACTGTTGGCATCAGCCTTGCAAAGCTTTGCTTTGGTACAACCAAAAACTCAATTTATCCATTTACATAATAATTCTTTGGCAATTTGCACAAACCACTGAAATTGTATGATTGCTATTTACAAAAGTTTTACAAATACCCAAGGCGTTTGATTGTTTAGTTGGTTAAGTGGAATCACCAGCTACGAGTGCCATTCATCCCGAACCTTCGTAAGTACGTATGTAGGATACAACGATTACTACTTCACCTAATTGGAGCACAAATTTGCTCATGACACAAGTGATTTCCCCATTTACGCACAGAAATCATTGCTCCAAGGCAATTGTGCTTGGTTAGCTGTTAAACAGAAATAATCTTCGAAACAACTCGTTAGCCAGTGAGGAGAGTGGGTGAGGGTGGAAGTTATTATGCGGAACCCACAATTTGCTAAATAGTCTTGTTCTCTCGCAGTCTATATGCCAGTCTGCACGAGTTATTTTGAAGAGAAAATTCATAGTTATTTGGGCTTGCTTGGTAGCGAATTATATTTTCTGATTATTGTTAATTACAGTAACTTAATATTATTTTGTAAAGTGGAAGAATGCTTTTGCTTAATTTGTCCTAACACTCATAGTTATTTACATATATCAATCAATGGAGTTAAGTATTTATAATGTATTGTTAAAGTAATTGAGTTATATGAGCCAGTAATCAGAGAGCTAAGCAGAAAACGTAAACTAAGTTACGGTAGGTTGAAATAACTTGCATACCGGTTTTCTAGCTCATCTGTGTGGTTCAGTGTTTAAGGTCTCTTTCCCGTTCTTGTTCTTGCTTTGCTTCATAATCGATTACACTAGTTTACACCAAGAAAAAACGCTGAGGCCGAAATTCGCATCATTTTCAAGATATCGTCACATTGCAATTTTTCATTAAAGAGAAAATGGTCGACCACAAAAATTTCTACTATCTCGAGAATCGGTTAACCCATCAAAACAAGTGACATGTCATACGAAAGGTAACTAAATTGACCATCTTTCGTTGGTAAATGATGTTGCAATATAGTACAAATTTACAAAATATCTACAAAGAATTTCACAAGAAATGGTATATAGTATACGACTTTCGAAAATTTGTTTTACTCCTTTTTTTTATTTATGGTCCGCCCTTTCTTCTTTAACCAAAACCCGTTTTGTGGCGATGTCTCGAAAACGACAAGCCAGAAAAAATATATATTATATATTATATTCTATTCGTTCTCGGATAAAAAGGATTGCATTGTTTATATTAGCCCAAAAGTAGATAGTACCAACTATCAGAAATTTATGCACATAATACCTTTTTGGGTACGTTTATCTACTTACGTCTAGTACGAAAATAACTTTTATGACGTCAGCGAAAGGATGGACACTGTCAAATCGACAAAGAGGGATTAGCACTCCGCGGAAGTCGCCACTTTTGTTTCGCTGTATCATGTGGAAAGAATATTTCGCTGCGCAGTTTCATGTCGTATCGCTAAGTGGGTTTTTTAACTTTACAGTTAGTATCATTAAAGCGCTTAAAATAAACATTTTGCTGCATATTTTTAAGCGCTATAACAATAACTACATGAAAACATGGTAATAATAACGCTGAGAAACATATACTTTTGGGCCGTAGATTACTGATCTGCATATCATTTTCCAAAACCTGGTCACTTTCTCAAGATCTTTTTATTTTAAGTTTGCATTTTGAATTAAAAAAATTGCAACTATGTACATATAACATGCGAATGAGTACTATTCCTTTCTGTTCATACAGCTGGATTCACTTGAATAGGTACACACTTTTTCCTCAAGATTCAATCTCGTATCTGGACTTTTAGCCATGATTGAAGATTATTTTTGGTCTCATTTTGAAGAATGATGAATTTCGAATAAAATCGGGAAAAATGAAGAAAACACCTTTATTACGTTGGATTTGATTAGCAATTTGATTAGCCCCCTTATAAAGTAGCCGCAATTTTCTCAAAGAGTATCGGATTGATTTCATACATATATCTCCATACCAAGCTCGAGTACTCTACAATGAAAACTTCCATGAAAACTTCAATGAAAAACGGTTTGTATGGGAAGAGCCACACCCCTTTTTCCAATGGCCCCATTTTTTTCATGACTATGCGATTGCTTTTGTATATCTCCATACCATGTTCAAGAACTCTATCATGAACACTTCCAGAGATATGCAGTATAAAATAATCGGTTTGTATGGAAGGTGCCACGCCCCCTGAACCTAGCGGTATGAAATATACTTTACATCCAATTCTCATACAACCACAAACACCGCGACACGAGATTTTTATATATTAGATATGTTATGTCTATTTATTCTAAAAACAAGATTGTATGTTCGGACTCGATACTTTAGAACTGTCCCGATTTTTGGCCACAGAAATCTGGTCACCGTATAAATATATATAACTCCGATCAACATTCTGCACTTGCCTTTGATAAATAGGATATTTCATGCGAGGGATTTGTTGAATGTTGCGTATACGCCATGTAGATTTATGGTAGGCCGAGGAGTTGATCCACATATTTTTTCACGTATCTGCCTAATTATATTTTAGTATACGTAACAAATTAAAATAAAACTACATACATACATGTTTAAAATTAAACTACAATCTTTTTATATATTTTGTTTTTTTTTCAGAGGAAGCCGCTCGCAATGAAAAAGCCGCTCAGAAAAAGGATGGTGATGAAGAGGAATAAATTCTGTATAAGTGCATAGTTGAATATATAAGAGCAACACCATAATTTGGAACTGAATAGAGACTTACATGTGTAATAAGTATGTATGTCTATTTAGCGAAAGTAGGAACAACAAAGAGATATATTTAAAAACACACACACACACTTACACACAAACACATTTATTAAATATACATACATATTTTACTTTAATGGTTGAAATTATTAGTTTTAAAAGCTTATATCGAAATCTTTTGAGATTGTAAACAGCAATTCGAGCGATTGCTGTGCCGCAAGAAAAAAAATATTACAAATAAATAAATAAACTAGTTTTTTAATTAACTTCGGTAAGCCAATAAAGCATAAATATGTTAATAACTATAATTATTATTAAAAATTCAACTGAAATTAATTATAACTCAGCATTTCTATGTATGTAGCGCAAACCGGCTAAATATTGACAATTACTTAAGCAAATAAATAAATATTATTAAAAAAAAAAAAACAGCAAACAATATTAATAGAGGGACATGAATTATGAAGAAATATTTTGGTTCACTTTTTTACATAAATGTATGTATCAAATTACAAAGTAATTACTGCTTAATGAAAATTTAAATGAGTTTGCAATGACATTTATGGATACGGCTGACAAAAGTAAGCACAACCACAACAAATACAAATTATATACCAGAATTTATTAACTCTTGCATTGCATAAAAGAGAAAAAGCTTCAAAGTGAAATTTCGCAAAAACAAATAGTGGTAAAATAAACCCAATCAATCAGCAACAATGACAAATTTTATTAAGCGTATATGTAGAAATAAACAAACAAGCATGCATACAATGTACATATATAATAAAATTAGCTACACATACATGCATACATACACATACATTTAATTTAGTGAATGCTGTTAGCCAAAACAGCATGCCAAATAAAATTAAAAGAAGTAACAAAATTTAGTGCAAAGCATACATATAACAGTACATAAATTCAAAATCTAAGTAAAATATGATTAGAGCGCTGCACATACAAACAAACATGAATAGCTATGTAAATATACATACATATGTATCTACATATTTAGGTGCATACATATGTACAAATGCACACATACATAAATAGTTTTTACTTATATAATTTTGAAGATGTACAATTGGCAATAAGTTAAAGTTGTGTGTAATTAAAATTTTAGAATTAAAAAAAAAAAAAACAAATATTGTTATATTTAATGTTTACTTTATGAATTGTTTAACTAATCCATATGCATTGTTGAAAGTCTCAAATTTAATTATAAGCTAAAATTACAATAAAATTTGCAAAAATAACACACAAATTACTTTTATTGTTTTCTTTTATGTTAACCTTCTGTTCTTGTTCGTTTTGTTTTTCAAAAGTCATTTAAACCAACAATAGTTACCATATTTGATGTGTAAATTGAATAATGCGTTGATAGTTGTTGCATACTTTAAGATGCATTTCAACAATTTTGATTGCATAAGTGCAAAGGGGCCAATTTTATATCTACATTTCACTATTGAGTTATATTGCAATAACTGGAAAAAATTAAAATTTTTAAAATTTTGCTTATTTCAGCTATAATAAGCACATTATACCGGGTCGTTCGAAGGACTAAAGAAAACAAATTTTAAGGATCTATCCTTCTATTTCAAGCTCATGTTGAAAGGATGTCGGAGCCATAACAAAATATTTTTTTTTTTGCCTCTAAGACAGTCGATTTATTTCAACTGGGATTTTCATGTGCAATATTTCACTCCAGAGGAGTTCGATAATTACTTTTAATGTTTGTTGAGCTCCCGAGAGTCGATTTCACATAGCTCAATCAGCTAACCGCGACCATAAGATATGGGCGTTTCCAGCGGAAGGTCTACCGTGAAAAAAATTTAAGGGATGTATCTAACTTATTTATAGGCCAATTTGGCTGCTTTTTATAATGTAAGAATTAAAAATTTTGCGAAAAATGACCTCGCTAGGTGGCGCCAGGGCCGAGGTATTTTGAAAAGCCGTATTTATGCTCCGATTTGCTTCAAATTTGTCACATACATACCTATAAGTATAGCTGAAGTCAAAATTAAAACTATATTCCATATAATTGTTAATATTTTAGTTGCGTTAAAAGTTCGTTTCATTGCATTGAGTAACATAACGTTATGTAACATCACGCCAGATAGTTCGCCAGACAGTTCTGCTGATAAAAAAAAAAAACGAGAAATTGTTGTATTTAAAAACTTGGAAAATTAAACTTAAATACTTCAAATTCCAAATTCACAGAGTTTGCAATTTTGTAATCCAAGTCATAACCCACTTCGGTTTTTTGTAACGTCACGGCAGCAAATGTGTTTTCTAATATATTGAAATCTCTACTAACAATAGCGGTAATTTTGTTTACTGACTAAATGGCTGCAGCTCTCAAGAAAAACGAAGCATTCATATAAAATTACGCACAAGAAATGGAAAAGAAAATTTCTTCTACCAGAATTTTTTAAATTAGTTGGCAGCGCGCAACAATAAAATGCTAGAATATTTATTTCTTCAAAAAAGCGAAGGACCTTTCAACCAACTGAAATAATGAAAAATATTTCTTGTGATTTTTTTAAGAGCTGAAAACAGCCCTTAAAGAGCTACCTATGTAATTCCATGAAAATACATATAAAAATAAACCGTTTTAAAATTTCGACTCCTGGCATGACTCTGAATGATTCAACTCTGTGTAGTCGAAGGCGAGTCAACACGTATGCCAATGACTCGCAAGTCAGGCGCACCGTGTATGCCGCCTATAAAATATATTAAAAGTTTTCGAAGTTATCATAAAAAACACATTTTGGCGGTTTTGAGAAATAAAAAAAATTATTGGTACCGAAATCCTCTCAACATAAGCTTTACTTAATGTGCATATCACTGATTTGCTATATATTTAAATTTTATGTTTTCATACATACATGCATATGTATATATTTCGCTGTGAAATATGTACATGTGTATGTTACAGCAACGCACTGTCTACATATGTAATAAAATTACATACATTTTTTTCTTTGAAATTTTCGTTTAACTTTTAGTACTTTTTAACTTTGATTTTGCGTTGACATCTTATTCATCGTTAACGACTTTTTTACTTTTTGGATTTTTTGTTAATTTAATCTTCTAGATCACCTTAAATTTATTTGGCCCTACAACCGTTTGGCAGTGTGGCACGACAACAGAAACCTTCGCCAATTGCCTCTCTCCTTTGCGAATTTGCGCCACTTGTTTATCCTATGATTTACTAACCTAACCAACCTACACATCATCCATGCGTACGACATTTTCAAGTCAACGGAACCGATATTCCTTTTGTTGTTGGTGTGCTGACATTAGTAAGCCCTGCTTAAATCGGCTAGTGTATAAATCACTGTCGTGCATCTCAAGTAACAGTAGACCTAAGAAAGTTCATTTTCAACGGCATTAAACCAAAGAAAAGGGGCTTGTTTCCTTTCGGTAGTAGCCGAGCAGGAATCACTTGCTGTGCATGAAGTTTTGCTCCTTAATGGGTAAGAAAGAAGCCTCGCTGTGCAGATGATGTTCAAGTAACACCAGAATGTATCCCATTGCTATCCGTGGTGCGCTGTCGCTTTTAAGTCTGAAGAAGCTTTGTCCATTGCGGCCTACTTGTCCCCGATAACCAACCAGGCGTAGCTTCGTTGCGAACCGACGAAGTGCTCCCTCTGAGCGATTTGAGTACCTTGTTTCTGATCTGTACCTTGTTAGCAAATGCGATTGTTTGCGCAGAGAAGAATCAAGCTATTCGGGTTATTGACCGCGAAGTGGTTTTATCAATTCATGATATTATAAAGCTCCCAGTTAATTTTTCCATCTTCTTGGCTTGTTTAGTCTCAAACGGCGCAGATAAGTCCTTCTAAGAGTTATGCTCAACGTCATTCCGGGTTAGGTTAGGTTAGAATGGTGGCGGAAAAACTATTACGCCCAAGTAGCAGCTAAATGCCATTTTGATACTATATACCTCGACTGCTAATGTTAGAACCAACCGGCGTGGGTGATAAAGTTGAGTATGTTGTGGAGACTTATATCAGATAGCTCTCGTTCCGATGTGAACACATATGCTCCTAGCATGGTATTTCTGCTCCTCATTAGAGCTGGACATTTGCAAAGAAGGTGTTCAACCGTTTCCTGCCATTCTCATCTCTGCAGCTTCTAGAGAAGTCGTTGTAGGCGATTCCCAGCCCATGTTTAGATAGCTCGAAGCGTATCTTTCGTCTATTGAAAAGTGAGTACGTGTGCAGGGGTCGACGACGTTAAAGGAGGTCTATTTCTGAGGTTTTTTGGGTTTTTGTATTTGACTGTGACTGATTTTCAGGTGGCGGATGCCTCCCAGCGGAATTGCACACATTTATACATGCATGCATACGTTCATAGCCCTAGTATTAACATCTCAAAGTAAAAGCTATATCTGAAAAGCACAATGAGTTTCCAAAAAATATATATTTTTGCTTCATCATTTCACTTTTTATTATTTTTTTCGTTATTTCCATTTGTTTTTTGATGTGTGGACATATTAGCTCTCGGTATGGGTAAATCTGTGTTAACCCAGTAGAAAATGGTTAACTGCTTCTTGTGTGTACAAATGAATATTTCTGCATTTATTCAGGGCTACTTTAAGATTACGACTACATAGTTTAAGGTCATTTCAAGACTCATTTGGACTATTAAGGGCCATTTCGGGACTATTTAGGGATCTTTGCGAGATCGTTTCGGTAAGGGCCGTTTCAGGAATCTTGAGTCTAGTTCTGGACCATTTTGGGATTACTTCTGAACAATCTTATGGCGTTTTCTTTTCTCGAATAAAATTTCACCTTCTTATATGGGAACATTATCAGAGTGCAACATTTTAAAGAAAGAGCATGCAATATGCATGTGAAGACGCTGAGAAAAGAACACGAAAACTTGACAGCCCGGGCGCAGGGCAGATTAAATGCAACATTATTTCGAGAAAAGAAAGCTCTATTAGGAAAATTTCGGAGCGAGTTCGAGCATAGTACTATTTTTAGACCATTTTGGGACGAATTCGGGAAATAGGTCAGAATTATTTGAGGACCATTTCGAGGCCAGTTCAGGCCTATTTAAGCAACATTTCGAGGCTAATGTGGGATCATTTCGGGTCTATTTCAGTACTCTTTTAGGACTATCTTATGACAAGTTCCGAATTTTTTACTAATACGGGACCATTTCGGGACCATTCCAAGACTTGTTCGAGATCATTTCGCGACCGTCTCGCGACCAGCTCAGAATTATTCGAAGACTATTTCAAAACTGTTTTGAGACTAGTGCACGACTATTCGAGCCTAGTTCAAAACTAGTTTTGATTCATCTCAGGACCATTTCGGGAGTAGTTCGATATCATTTTGGGGCTAATAATTAGCATTTAAGGACTAGTTCGGAATCATATTGGGACTGGTAACGGAGCATATTGAGACCGTTCCAAGGCTTGTTCGAAATCATTTCAGAACAAGCTCACGACTTTTTC